GAATTCTGAGTGAGTTCTTTTTTTGTATTTACAATCGAGTGATGGTAAAATGCGGGCATAGTCGAAAGTGCTGGCATGCAACTAAATTGGGGGGTGAGTTGAATTGTGGGTAGTGTGTAGTATGTGTTGTGCTAGAACACCCCCCGTTGTTGCCGTTGTTGCTGCTGCTGCTGCTGCTGCTGCAATCCCCTTATCACGTTACTCATACACATATTACGACCGACGGGGTGGCACACCACGTGCTGCCCCAACTCCTCCACAGCGGAGTAAGTTTGTCAAGGGGGGGGTGGTGGTGGTGGCTGTGCAAAGTGGGACATTGACGTTCTTGATTAGCATCATTGACGTACGAAGGAGCTGCTCATGAGTTAGTTAGTTAGTTAGTTTTCTCTCCATGTATCTCTCTCTATGTTACCCTGTATCTGTGTGCCTCTTTGCCGGCCTGCATTCGACGGAGTCGCCTTTATTGAGGCCCACTCTCTGAACTGAGTGACTTCCGCACTCTACACTATTATTATGTATTATTATCGTCTGTTTGTCTATGATTTTGTTGTTGTTGTTGTTGCCATTGCTTATCACTGTGCTTATGTCCTTATCAAAAGGGTTTTTATCGCTTGTGTCCGCTCTGATAAACTATTGTCGAGCAGATAATAATAAAATGTTGCCCAGTTTCGGTTAGTTGAATGTTCGCCTTTTTCTTCAGTTTCTTATCCCCTTTACATATCAAAAATGATGCATATAATGAAGGGTTGCAAATGTGTACAACAGCCAGGATTACACTCAGAAAAGAGTCGATTTGAAATTTAGAACGTTTTTAAAGGGCAAAATTACACATTTCTATTTTCTTTTATTAAGAAATATATTTCTAAAAATAGAAAAAAGCTTTTCATACTTTACTAAAAATTATTCGTGTATTTAGAAATTATTCCTAACAACCGGAAAATGTTTCTAGTTTTATGGCCGATTTTTGTGTATGTGTAAAAGTTTTCTATCCCATTTTCGATCTGGAATAAAAGTGAAGTCCAAGTTCTTTGACTAGTTTTTTAGCTTATAAGTGTGTTTCGATAAGTATTCCTGCTCGATTAATATCGATAATTGAATATCATCAATATTCTTATTTGCTGTATTTGTGACAAAAAATACCAAACATATTCAGGCTGTGAACAGGGTATCTGATAGTCGGGCGCTGATGACTAAAGTCCCCTTTTATATTTTGTTGCTTATTACTTTTTGCAGATTTTTCTTTTGTTTGTCAATTTTGCAATTGTTTGACTCTGCTGGAGGACTTATGTTATCGAGTTGCAAGTTGTTTAATAGGACTTAACATATTACTACATGACAAATAAAAAAAAAAAGAAAATCATATATTCATGTAAACTTCAATACCATAATAAAGTCATGTTAAAAAAATGTTAAACAATTAAATAAATTAAACAAAAGATGACTTTTGGTGCAGGCCTTACGCAATAAAGTTTTATTTTGTCTACTATATAAAGAAGTAAATATTATAAAATTAGGAAAAAGTATTTAAATATAAATTATTATTTTAATAAAACAAGATTTTAAAATAGTTAACTATGCTTTCACGAGCAATTACATCTGCAAAGTTATTCCAATATTTATTAATGTATTTTATTTTGCAATTTATTTTTTAAAATGTAATTTGTACTAAATTAACTTTAAGCAAGTCAAAAAAAATAAAATTAAAAAAATAATTTTAGTATACAAATGAACTGAAATAAATTTTAAATATTTTATTTAAAATTAAAAGAAACTATTAAGCTAAAATTTGAAATGTAAAGATTATAACAAATATTTGTGGGTATTTAAAATGTAAACTATATTGCTAGGATAATCAAAAAAAACACAAAATCAGACGAAAAAATTTTAATAATCAGTAACATACAGAAAATAGAATGAGAAAGATGAGAAAGACAATATTATAATATATACGAAAATAGCTCAGGAATATAAATATACCAAAATTAAACACGGTGAGATTTTTCTGATAAATGTTAAAATTTAGAATTTAATGAAGGGAACAAAGAGTTCTGTTAAAATATAAAAAGTATCCTAAATAGAGTTGAAGATATGTTCCAAAGCCATGCATTTACACAACTCATTAAGCACTCGCTGAGTGGGGGACATTATTTATAAGTGAACTTCCCCATCAAGTGCATTCTCAAGTTGACGTTGCCCTTCTGTTTGGGTCTCTCCGTTACCCTGCTCCGCTTGCAGATGCCCCTTCAGCCAAGTGTTACCAAATACAAATTGACAGTTAATATTTTTAAACTAGTGAGTAGCGGGGGGTTGTTGAGGGATGCTGCTGCTGCTGCTGTTGCTGCTGCTGCTGCTGTTGCTGCTGCTGTTCCTGCCAATGCTGTCGACAAGGACATTATGTAAATCACACAAATGCGGCAAATGCGTTGGCGTGCCGGCCCCTCCCCACTCCGAGCCCCGTCCCTTGCCCCATCGCCTGTCGTATCTGCGATGTGGAAATAATAAACAGGAAAAAGACGCACTGCAAACGAAGGCCAAGCTGCAGATACTCAGATACTTGGCTTTCTATCCAGTCTGCTGTTTGTTTTTGCCCCAGCATTTGTTGTTGTGGTTGCATGCAGTTGCTGTTGTTGTCTCGTGGTCGTCATCAACGGGCCCAGCTCTTAACATATTAAACCGATCATTGTACTCGACATCGACAACAGCAGCTCAAACAAAAAGCCAAAAAAAAAAAGCAAAACTGAAAATAAACAAAACAAATACAATAATAACTATCAACTGGTTTTTTGTTATATTTTCTAGGGCTAGACTTTGTTTGCTCTGGTTTCCCTTGGTACATTTTGAGGCCAATTGATTGCAGAATCTGTGGCAAGTTATGTAAGGAGTAGACGGAGTAGTCAGACAAGAGGAAGAATTCTTAAAAATCGACCACATCTGCGTGTATTGATTTAATTTATATATTCTATGCATTTAAAGTATTCATTTAAAATAGTAGAAAGCAGTTTTAAATGCTGCTTAATATTTCTATAGTTGTAATTTGTCATTTATATCAATTATTATGTTGTGAGCTCAAGTGATAAATCAGTAATATCTGAAAACAATACATATTGTACTGACTTATCTGATTAATTGTGTGATTATATTATTAAATTAAGAAATGATATAGTAAAATGACCAACATATATTAATTTATTACAATTTTCTGACACATGTTTGCTCAAACTGATGAAGGAAAAAAATAATGGGAAATATCAAATGGAATAAAAGGAATGTCAAAAATCATTGAATATATTTAGTGTTGGAATTTTAAGCTGATATAAGTAAATATATTTTCCAAATTTTAACATAGTAGCTCTTATATATAATTATATATATATTGATATATATATCTTGATATTCTCGGTAATGTCATTTTCTGTGTGCTATATATATTTTGGCATAAGTTTATGGTTGCATTTCAAGAACAGATGCGATGCTCTAATCACAATTCTGATCCTTGCCTGGCCCAGCATCCTAGTAACCACAAGAAGCTGTCAATCATCTCGGGGATAACAGCGACTGGCTTTAATGCAATCAAGGCGCGCTCTATACCCGAACAGCATATTTAAGCAGGCAGCTTAAAAACGCTTAACACACACAAATTTAATCATGACAGGACTTGGGCAGCGCCCCTCGTCCCTTGTCCTCTGCACTTCGCCTGACGACATTTGAGTCGCTTAGCTGGGTAAAAATCACACCCGCGGTTATTTAAAATGCTAAAAACAAAGCAAAATATTATATAGCAATAATAGAAAAAAAGAGGCACTCGACTTACAGCTCATCCCCATGCAACACGCACCACGCCCAGGGGCCATAACCCACGCTACCCTGTCAAATGTCAATAGCAAGCGGTGACTTTTTCGTCGTCAACAGCTGCTCAACATCCTCCTCCCCACCTCATCCCCTACCCCTTCCTCCTACTCCTAACACACTTGTTACGCTCCGCCAGACTCACTCTGCGTGTCACTTTTCCAGGCAATTCTTGGTTGGGGGTCAGTCAGTTGGCATATTTGCACCCCGAACCATGACTGACTTTTTATTTTCGAACATAATCGCTCGTTGTAATATTGACTTCATTTTTGGGGGAGTGCGAATAAATATATTTATAACCAAAACGCATGTAAATTTTCGCCATAAGTTGGTATTAGTTAACACATATTTACTGAATAATAAACGATGTTATACAATATACAAATGGATAAATATAAATGCTTTCAAATAAATTAATTTAGTCGAAAGTTTGCTTCGAGGATTACCAGTTCCAGTCATGTTATTTATCTTAAAAATAATATATAATATAAAAATAAAATAAGTAAGTATAGTCGATTATTACAGCGAAGGCCAACACTTTTTTTTATAGTATTCTATCTAATAGATTATATTCGAACAAATAAAAATACATTTCAAATATATTTATAATTTTTCCGTATAACTTTCAACCTTTTCTATAAAAGTAATTTAAATTAAATGTGAAAAATTAAATCAATATTTAAAATGAAAACCAGTAGTAATAAAATATACAATAAGTCGCGGCATATTAAAGAATAAATTTATTGCACGGATTGGGAGAGTCTAGAAGAAACCCCATCAAAGCTTAGAAAGTCGGGAAGATTATTTTCCCAATTCAATTCTTAAATTAAGTTAAAATAAAAAATTCAATTGCTTGCATATTTGTAGATTGGGTTATCGGTAATGAAAGCGATTTCTCTCTTTTTGTTTTTCGATTATGCTAATAAAAATATTTATTTTTTATTTAGATAATAATTTATATTATGCCTAATAATAATTTATATTTTCTAGGTGGGAAATTCTGAATTTTGAGAAAATTATGAAATTAGTTTAATTTGAGTAATAATTAGTAAATCTAAGTTGGCTTTGTATTCTTTTTTATTTTGATTGAATTTCAAAGTCAATCGTTATTTTATTCTATATTTAAATATTGGAATATATCAATTCGATTCAAACAAGCGTTAAATTATTGAATACTGACTATGAATTTGGATAAAATACCCGAGGTCGATATGCTGCTTGTGACCAAGAGTGCCCGGCTCCATCGACGAGCAGTGTTGGGTTTTGTGCCACGTATTGGTCTCCCAATTGTGGACTATGCCGATGTGGACAGGATTGATGCCTTCTATTTGCAATGCCAGGAATATCGTGACTATTATCGGGACCCCTACGACAGGGTTCACAAGCCATTGAAGTTCACGCAGCACATGGGCAAATGCGGCATTAAGCTGGACACCACTGTGGATGAGTTGAGGCAGCCAATCAATTGGGTGCCCAGGCGTCAACCGTTAATCGCGCCCATCGATTATCAGTCGTATATGAATTTGGGCGTGCCTATGGGGGAAATCTTCAGGGGGAAGTACAGTAAGCAGTCCTGTATCCGTTACAAGCGCTAAGCAGAAAAAGGACTTTCATTCTTTCGATCCGGTCACCTTATAGATGGGTTCATACAATGAATTAAAAAATGTGTTTACATCTTTAAGTGGTAGATGAACGTCAGCTATAAGTGTGCACTAATAAAATTATATGTCTTATATATTATTATTTTAATTATTTAACTTACAAATATATTAAAATTCGCTTCCAAACATATTTAATAATTTAAGTGTCAAACTCAGTTTTAAAACGTTTCCAGAGGCAGAATTTTTATAAGCAAATATTTATATATATAAATTTTATAGAAATCTTAAAACATATTTTTTCGAATAACAATCATAATACAACTTAACTGCTTGAAATTTAACACTACATATTAAATAAAACAGTTCACTCAAAACTCTTAAAAAAGGGAAAGAAAATATCAAAACAAAAACTTTAAATAAATGAAATAACATAAAATGAAATGAAAATCTTTAGGAATTAAATACTTAATATTACAAACAATTTGTTTTACATTAATTATATTAAATCACAAAGCCAATTGCTGTGGTAATTCTTAGATATAAATCTATTTTTAATCTGAATTTCTTACATTCTCCTGTGACTAAATCTCAGGTTTTCAGGTTATATATTGTAGACCTCTACTGAAATCAACATGAAATTTGTGATTTGCCTCCAATCCTTTATAATATATATTTAAGCTACAAAATATATATAATTTTGCATACACTTTAAAGCCAAGTTGTGTATCCTCGCCAGATATTTGCCCAAGGACTTGAAGCATGTCACTTGACACAGCAGAAAAGAGCAGAGAAATAATTATTATGTGTTTACACAGCGACAACGAGCGAATTTATAGCCCACATTTGACTTAACAAGCCAAATGACAGAAGGCGGCAGGCGGCAGGCGGCAGACGAAATGGGGAATGCGGCATGTGGCATGGGACAGCACAAGAAGAAGCACCCATAAAAGCCTCAGCGGCTTTTGGGAAGCCTTTATCCCATGGCTACCATCCCCCCCATGATACAGTTGCTAATTGGTGTCATTAAAAAGTTGAGAGGAGTTCTTTAAAAATATGCCACGAGCAAATAATGCGCATACGTCACGTTGTACGTTGAGGAGCCGATAGTGGATGGGGAGGGGGTATTGAGGGGTCAAACGGCTCATCGGCTGACTGTTTTACAATGTAAATGTAATCAAAGTTTGCTTTTTTCACACCTTCCGCTTGATTTGTGATTATGAAAATGTTAGTAAAAAAATTCATTGCGGCACACCTTGAAAAGGTCCTCACAAAATTAGCATTTAAATTACGCGACAAACGTCAAAAACATCCCCTCGCCATCCCAGCCAACCCAATCTCATTCGCAAGTTTAGTTTTGTGCGCAGCGTTCAATGAAGCAGCATTAATTGGAATACTATGGCCAGGACAGAGGCTGCCTTTGATGGCTCGCCTATAATTGTTATTGATGGCACATTATCCGATGCTGTTGCTACAAACAGCATAACTTCATCCACTTTCCTCCTCTTCCCGCAGACCCTGCTTCTAACTGAAGGTTTTATGTAAATAAGCAGAAGGTGCTTAGGTCAGCAGCTGACTCGGCCTGCTTATGAAACTTACTCCTGTATAAGTTCTAATATGGTTGGATGGCCTAATTAAATCTCAATAACATTCATGTTAAATTGGGCAGACATATATCGTATACATCCGTTTATCTGTAAAGGAATAGAGTCAGTTTTGACTCACACTAAAACCAACGAAATCTGAGATTTATTTTCATTTATTCAATTAACTTGAATATTCAAAGAAATTGGGTTATCTTAAGATTTGTCGCATAATTTATCACATTCCCTGAGAGATAGTTTTTAAATATTACTGTACGGATGGTATTCATACTATAGATCTAGAGCAGCTCTTACCATTTTTGCTGTGTTAATTTAAGGTATTCTTCAAAATATCTGTAGATATGAATAGTAAAAAAGGTTCCCTGTAACTAGAGTAGCCTTAGTCGAGCACTTACTAAGCCCACAAATAGTCTATATTGATTTTCATATTATCCATAAAAATAATAAATATTTCATAACACTGAAAGTTGGACTTGTACTAATCATGGCAGCACTCGATAGTTGATTATCTTTATTATTCACTATATTTAACAGTTTTACTAAATTTAACTAAATTCACCACTTAAATAAATATTTGGTATTTAATTATTGAATCTAATTTTAGTTAACAAAAATCGTGATCAAAGCATTTATCTCTCGTGATCAGCATCTGTCTGTCTGCTAATCATCCACATAATTTCTTTTGCTAGGGTATTTACTAGTTGACATACCGAATGTTGACGTAACTTAAATTGCCGAAGTTGTAAGCATTTATTAAGTTTCTATAAGAAATATTTTATATTTGCTTTATATATATATTTTTGCACATTTCTCATACAACCCAAGAAACCTTCTGTGGCCCCGGTGCAGGGTATAACACAGACACACACACACATACCAATGCATATTTTAATTCCTGCCCACGGATGACACGAGCCGGCAGCTATGAAAGAGGGGCAGAGGGGGCAAAAGGGGGTGGGCAGCTGAGGCGTGAGCTTTGGTTTGCCTGGCGGCTGGATGGCGCCGCTTTGACCAGCCCGCAAAACGAGTGACGCCGCTGCCAGAATACAGAAGAAGACTCCCAAGATTGCCGAGGCTAGAGCTGGGTCAGGACCACCCGTTAATCACCAAACACTCACACACACACACACGCACATAACACATAATACACACAACACACAAATCTACACTGTAAAAAATGTTGGCTTATTACATCTTGATATTTTTGTATAACAACTCCAAATATATGAAATAGAAACCAAATTAGAATTTAAAAGCAAATAAGCCAAAAAATAATATATATATATTTAAATAAAATAAAATCAAAATATACAAAAAAATCCGATAAGGTTTTTATTCCATTTAAAAAGTACATTTAAATTTAAAAAATATATAAATTGTTTTTATTATTTATAAAAATTAAACCAAAATAAAACCGGTATGCAACTAAAATATAAAATAAATAAAAATAATTATAATAAACAATTAAAACTAAATATTAAATATATTTAATAAAAATATTTCCAAGCTCAATTTTTTACCGTGCACACACACAAATCCAGCGACAATCTATTTACATTTACACCAAATGTACAAATTTAGTTATCGTTAGCTTGGTGGCTGTAACAAAGGGGCGGGAGTAGAGTGGTAGTGGTGGTTGGTGAGTGTAAGGGTAGGGGAGGGGAGGGGAGGGGCAACATCAAGCGTCACGCAAAAGTTGTTTGCGTTGGCGAGCTCACAAAAATAGGCAACGTTATCTTTGCATGCGGTTGTGGGGCGTGCCGCAGAAGAAAGGGGAAGGGGAAGGGGATGGGGCCAGGAGGAGAGGAATTGGAGTTGAGGACGTGGCTCATGTTTACACACATGTTGGAATGTCTGCTTCGTTGTGTGTGTGTGTGTGTGTGTTGCTGATGAGTTTTGTTTTTCTTGAACAAACTTTAATTGTTTTTGATTTTTCTAAGGATTCGAGTGACGCTCGCTTGTAAGCGAATAAAATCACGTATGATGATATAAAAATAATGATGATCATGATGGCTGGCTGGATGGGAATGTTTGCTGTGTGTCTTGGCTTGCCTTGAAGCCTTTGAATGTCGCAGCAAACAACAACAAAAGCAAATCAGGCAATTGGAAAAAAGGAAAATTGAAACCGCGCGCTGGCTAATTAAATGCACATTTGTCAAGCTTCTGGCCTGGAGCGTGCAGCTACCCACTTGCCACTCCACTCCACACACACACACACACACACACACACACACACACAAACACACACAGTCCCAAGTCCCCCACTTATTCTCATTTCATATTCCCTCTCTAAGCGGTCGAGTAACCACTTGAAAACAATTGTGCAGGCAATTGCCAAAATGTCACGTACGATGTGTAAATGTCAGCAAAAAGGATTCTAATTGTTGCAACTGCATAGAAGGGGGAATGTGGGGAAGGGATAAGTGTAAAGGAGGCACATGTTGCATGTTGTATACTCAATGGCACACGAGGCAATTTTCTGTATGCACTTGGCTTAAAGATCCTGCACATAATGCAGTTGCATGCAACTCGGGAAAAACGCGGCATGCCAACGAACGGGGTTGAAAAATGGCAAACTGCTTTGCCTGTTTTGTGGCTCATCTGTTTGGCAAATTGAAAATTGCGCTCATTTATTGCATTATTCACAAAACGTCGGGTTTTTTTTCTCCATTTGTCATGCCAATTCAAATAGCCGTGAAATTGCATTTGATTCGTCTGCCTGACAAAGTCTCTGGAAATGGAAATGCAAAATGCGAATTGAGGGGAAGAAAAGCGGGTGAAGAGAGTTATAGAAAGTGATTGTCAATTGTTGCAGCTATTTAATGTCGTTCTACTTAAATGACAAATTTCAAATGCAACTGAAAATAAAATACATATCAAATTTAATTATCATTTGCTTGAATTATATATACAGATATAAGTTAGCGCGCTATAAAATAATCAAGTTTAAATGATTATTTTCACATTAAGTGCCTTGTTTAATAGCTTAAATATTTTAAACACAAGCCCCTCCCCTCCCCTACCCTTACACTCACCAACCACCACTACCACTCTACTCCCGCCCCTTTGTTACAGCCACCAAGCTAACGATAACTAAATTTGTACATTTGGTGTAAATGTAAATAGATTGTCGCTGGATTTGTGTGTGTGCACGGTAAAAAATTGAGCTTTGAAATATTTTTATTAAACATATTTAATATTTAGTTTTAATTGTTTATTATAATTATTTTTATTTATTTTATATTTTAGTTGCATACCGGTTTTATTTTGGTTTAATTTTTATAAATAATAAAAACAATTTATATATTTTTTTAAATTTAAATGTACTTTTTCAATGGAATAAAAACCTTATCGGATTTTATTGTATATTTTGATTTTATTTTATTTAAATATATATATATTATTTTTTGGCTTATTTGCTTTTAAATTCTAATTTGGTTTCTATTTCATATATTTCGAGTTGTTATACACAAATATCAAGATGTAATAAGCCAACATCTTCCCTCATATCATCCCCCCCCCTTCCCCCCATCCCCCTTTCTCCGTTGAACACTTTAAAATACAATTAAAAGTCAAAACGTCAGCGCCGCCAAAGCTGTTTGGCGGTGCCTGTAAACGGATGCCAGTGGGCAAGCCCCGGCGGACTTCATTTGCAAGTCACCAGTGACGCCAAGCAGTCGGCCTTAGGCGGGTGGCAGTGTTGACGAGGGGTCGAGCTGGGGCAGGGAGAGGGGGAGGTATAAACATGAGACTCTTTTTCATAACATTTAACAATGTCATAATGAGAGTGTGAGCCAACAAGTTAACCCTTGGCACATGATAATGAGACAGTGCGACATCTAAATCGCGATTTGCATTTTTGGGTAATACTGAGCGTACACTCAAAAAAAAGTCTGCTTAAAATTTGGAAAATCTACTTGAAAACTGGAAACAATAATTTCTAAATATTCGAAATGCTCTTTGCAGAAATATTTTCTATTATTAAGAAATATATTTAAAATAAAGGGATAAAAGTGGATTGCAACTCGTTTATTTGTATTAAAATTCTTTTAAAAATTTGAAAAAATTAAATGAATACAATTTTTAATTTTTAAACTATCTACAAAGGTTTTATATGTGTCTCAGAATAAGAATGTTTAATAAAAGTATTAATAACAATAAACTAATGTAAAAATAAAAAGATTTGGAATTTATAAAACTGTTTCCCAAATTTCATCCTTGAATTGATTACTAGAAATAAAATTTCTTAATAATAAGGTGAGCCATCCTTGGCGCGAAAACTATAGTGATTTCCAAATTTACCGGCGATTATTTGGCTCAGTGCATAATCATATGAGCCACTGTTGTGACTGTGTGTGTGTGTGTGTGTGGCTCTCTGTGGGTTTTGCGAATTGGTAATGGACCAATGGCTGTTGTACTAAATAGTAGAATGAGTCATAGCCTGGGGCTAAATGTATTATGAGTCCATTAGTGTAAATTTTATTACCGCAAAAATATCATGACGGAAGTGCGACAAAAGAGATACCAACTAAAGCGAATGTATTTCAAAGATACAAAAATGGAACTTATATAATTACGCAGCGCAAATTGGTTTACGCACCACATGAGGCAACATCCTTAGATCCTCTAATTACAATAGCTCGCACAAAGAGTGAGCCAAAGAGATATACAATAATAGTAATAGAACTTGCCAACTTATTTTTTTCCAGCGAATTCAATTCATTTGCGAAAAACAGAAAAGCACACACAAAAAAAGAGAAGTGAAAATGCACATAACAAATTTCCATTACATACAAATTTTATGCTCTTAGGAACTAAGTCCCCTTCGAAAATAAAAGCCAACTGTTTGATTTTTTGCTTATCTTATCGCACCACCGCACCACCCACCACAACACGGCAACACGGCAACAATTGCTTATCTCAGCCCGCACACTCGCGCATTTTTTCATTTGCACCTTTTTAGCCTTTTTGTTTCTAGCTCCATAAAAATAAACTTAAATAATATGTAAACAACAATGATGTCGAATAAAACGGGTTACATCAATGCGGGCCAATTTCAATTAAATTGAAAACTTTACGCCAACTCGCATTCTTTGTTAGGGGTTGAGTCGAAAATGTTTATTGGATTGCATTGGCTGTCTAACTGACTGAATGTGTTTAAGCCAACTATCGGCAGTCAAGTGAGATTAGACATTATTTTCAGTATGCTATTTATAGAGATTGCTAAACAAACAAAGGGATATGTATGTATACAAATATTTTGGCATAAAAACTAGTACATATTATTATTTTTTTTAAATGTCGACTAAGAACAGAACAGAACAAAAAATGTAAAAAATATAGTTTAAGAACAAATTTTTAATTATGTATCAAGATAAAATTTGAGTTAATAATTTCGAGCAATTAAATTAAAAATGAATATTAAAATTCCGGTTTTATTTTGAATTTTATTTCATTCTCATTTTTGACTGATATTTTATTTGACATTAAATAAATAAAGTAAATACATTTATTGCAATTGGACCAAAGTTTGTTAGTAGTTAGTTAATTAATTAATTAAAAAATAATACAAATTTGTTCCAAAATGACAATCATAAAATGCTTACAGAGGATAATGATATTTTGTGGCAACTTTATGTGCTTTTGAATTAATTATTATAAACTTTGTTTTAAGAAACTTCTAAATGATAATTCGCCAAGTAAAATTTGCCATTTGACCGCTCGGCAAATACTTCTTAAATATTATTTACATTTCACTTTAGTTCACAGACGTGAATATTTAAACTTCATATATTTATACAGCTATTTTTTTAATACAATAAAATAAGTTATAGAAGTTTACTTTACGAATACTATTTAAATTTACTATTTAATATGTATCAGAAAAGTATTTTATGTGATACATTTTCTATTTTCTACTCCTTCTAATTTTAAACCGATTATTTTTCATTTTTTTCATTTTATTTCTAATATGTTTTTATATTTATTTTCATTAAATGCATATAAAAGATTTATTGCGGTCTAGATTTTTATGGACCATTCCGTGCATGCTTCTCTTTAACTTACTTAACTTTGAATTTACACCGTAAAACCTTTTTCAATTTTTTGGCTATTTGGATTTTTTTGGATTGGTTTGTTGACAATGCCAGCACTTGAAAAGTAAAAATATTCGCTAGGCTGTGGTTTAAGGGATGGTAAAGTATAGGGTTCGTGTGATGACACGGCTGGAGCTAATAACAGTATTAACACGATGAAGCCAAATTGAATTCGATGCCAATACACGCTTAAAGTTAGCAAAACCAGTCTAGAGAGAACCGCTCCGTATCCGTCGCCCCCTCAGCAGGAAGAGACCGGCGACGTCGATGAGCAAACACAAAGTCCCAAACGTAATTTTCACAAATTCATTGAACTGCGTGAGTGTGAAAAATAACAATTTAGATAAACAGTGCGACGGCGTCGCGGCGACCTCCATGGGTGTCGCTCCTGGTTACACACACACACACACACACACACACACATATATATATATATATATATATAATCATATATGTATATGGTGTATGTATATACGCGACGGGTGACAAGTACGTTGGCTCAGACATGGGCGGCATCGCGTCGACCGTTGACACAGAAATCATATTAATATAAATTAACGATGTGGAAAATTTAGTTTAGTAGTGAAAATGGCGCCCGAAGTCCAAAGGAACGCTGCTTTGCGCCTTAGAGCGAAGTCAACTGGTGGCTCACATCTCTCACGTCGCCATCTCATCAGTCAAATGCCATGGCGCGCAAATCCCACAGACCAACAGAAGGCAACTAACCAACCAACCAGTGTGTATATCCCACAGTTGAGAAATTGTTTTGTTATTCTTGCTTCAATTTATTCCCTTAGTTTCGATTTTTGTTTTTCGGCTTGCATTCGTAATTCGGATTCACTTTTGGCACTCACTGCATCAATCTCCATCTCCGGAACTGACGCTGCGCCACTTTTTTCAATTAATTGGCGCTCTGAACTGCACCCGGGCCTTGGGACAGGAGCTTGAAGATTCACTCTGTATAGCAGCACAGTCGTTCACTAATCACTTCCGCATAGTCATGATCATAATCCGATTATGCAACGTCTCTCATTGGATGAGGCAGTGGCATGGTTGGAAAGTGCTGTCAATGAATTGTGCTGCTCGAGCATGTTGTTGACATTAAATTGATTAAGCTCACTTTTCATAACTAGTATAAGCTAATGTTTAAACCTATAACGACATGCTACGCAAAAAGGATATTTTGCGACGAGACTTTAAAACAAAATTTGTTGTTGTATAGCATATATGTACTTTTTTAACAAACATGCTCCCAGGCTTAAATCCCATTGGGGCTTAATCTGTGTCAGATTAATTTGCTTGTTGTCAGCTACAAATTGTTAAAAATTGTTAGCTTAAAACCTGACTTAGACTTTGAGTACAAATTAATATCTTTAAGCAGCCAGCCTTTTCCATTTCAAGAACTTTTGTTTAATTTTGATGGGTTTTTGGCAAACTTCATGATGTAAATAATATTCGAGCAGTGAACGTCTTTTAGTGCATTATAAAAAATATTTACTTTTTACATACATTCGGAAAATCGCCATGCTTTGATATATTTAATATTATTAAGTTATATTTCTGAAAAGTTAAGAAAAAGCATTGGCAAATTTAAGAATCTTTTCATACGCTAAAATATCAATTTAAAAAAATAAGAAAAACTTTTTTGTTTTATCTTCATGTAAATGAGTTGCAGAGAAATTTAAACAATAGTATTTGCTAAAAGAACAAATATAGCTATGCGAATAATATTTTAGAAATATTTATTAGCATTAGTAATGAAATTGTTGTAAAATTATTAGATATCATAATAGAATATGGTTTCTTTAGGGAAAATCAAAAGTGAAAGTATTATTAACAGGTAATTAAATATAATTGAAATTAAACCAATAATAGATAATAATAGATTGTTAGTATTAGTATTGTCTGTAGAGATTATTATTAAGAATCACTTAAATAAGCAATTCAATAAACTCGTTTTAAGGTATGTCTCATAGTATGCAAAGCATTTAATAGGTTAATTGCAAATGAAATAAATATGATAATGCGCTTGACTCTTTTGTTCTCTTTAAATTATGAAATTAATATAGTATTAATAAAGAATTGAAATATATTCCAATTTGTAAAGGGGTGCTGTGAAGAAAAGAGCTAGAAATGCTACAAAAAAATAATAAACAGCGTTTTGAAAACCCTTTTTTTATTTATTACTCATACATAGATAATATGCTGTATTACGTTTATTGTTAAGAAATTATATTTAATATTGTTTACAATTGTCAAAAGAAATGTTACACCAAATGCAAAAAAAAAAATAAGAATTACAGTAAGCAACCGCCGCACAGGGTGTTGAGACAATGGTATCGGAACGTAAATAAGAACAAAAAGGTTTTCATATAAGCTTTTATTTGTCATCTCTAAATTCTGTGGCCCGTGGGACACATTGGCCTGTGCGGCATGGTGTGTTGGAAGTTTTGTTCCGGACAGCAGTGGCAAAGTGGGTGTCGAAGCCGCTGATCGCTGGCTCGTCATAGGTGCCAAGATGCTGAACCAGAACAGGCTGCTTAAACTGTTGACGTTGGCTTTGCATTTGTGCAGAATCAAGTGGGTGAATGTGTCGGTGTCGGTGTTGGTGAAAGTTGTTCAAATATTCAATGAGGGTCTCTTGGATTTACAACGTGACGATAACTATAACGATAACGATAACTTTGCAAAGGGAAACTTATAAATTAAGTGGATCGATCTGATTCCTTGGGCTGCTTGTAGAACTCGCGTATAAGCTGGCGAAGATAGCGTGACTCGCGCTTGAAACCGCCGAGTTTGCGTCTCAGCTCGTCGTTGACCTGCGTCAGCTCCTGCTCCTCGGTGAGCACATGCTCCATTTCCTTTTTCTTCTTCTGGCGATAGCGTGTGGCCGCATTCTTGTTCTGCTCCTTTTTCCGAATCTTGCGATCCTCTGTGCCGCGTCCATAGGTGCGTGTACGCTTTTTCGCCGGCCCGCTGCTGCTGCTGCCGTTGTCGGATGGTGTAGAATGTTGCGGCTCCTCGGCGATGGTGTGGGCGGGTGAGCTGCTGCTGCTGCTACTCGTGGGCAGCCATTCCTCATCCGCGTCCGCAATGCTGCTGCCAGCGCCGCTGATATCGCCGTTGTTGCTGCTACTGCTGCTGCTGCTGCCTAGAGACGATGAGGCCTGCGATTCGCAGTCATCGTTGTACTGCTGCCAGTTGATGGGTAGCTGCAGCTCCTGGGCACGCATATTGACAATGTCATCCACCAGCTGCGTTTCGCGTGCAATTTCACTGACAGGCATCCAGTTGTTGAAGCTGTATGCGCCAGTGGCAGCCACAGCTGTCGCATTCACTGCGACTGCAGCATCATTGGCAAAAGGCGGCAGCTGTAAATTAGATACACAAGTTAAATACGATTGCTAACAGGCAAATGCTCCATCATCTGTGTCCTTACCACTTTGTGCTCCTCCTTGACGAGCAGCTGCTCCTGTGGCTGCTGTTGATAGCCATCGAATTGAGGCGGCGACTGCGGCGGCGTTAGTTGTTGCAATACCAAGCAAGTGTCACCATCATGCTGGAAATCGGAATCGGAGGCGTTGGCAGCAACCTGCACTTTAGTCATGGGTAGTAAGTCCTGCGGCACAGCCAATGCTTGCGAGAAGCTGGCTGACTCATAATCGACATATTGCGGCGCCCTTTGGTCTAGAAGGCACTCTGCAAGTAAATAGCAAATATTTTCATATGATTAATATTTTAATTGTATTTATTTCAAATTACGATTTTTTATTACTAATTTGAGACACTAATTGCAATAATAGTTGTATTTAGTTTACTTTTCTCAGCTGGATTTCAATCTTCCTATCTGAAAAGTATTATTATAATTTTATTATTTAAACTAACATTATTTTCATATGTAATTATGGGCTTTAATATAATTTTCTTGAATTTCTTAGATTCGACTTGTAGTTTAACGCTTTTTTGAACGTATGGATATTATTTAATATTACAAAATAAATTTTCTACTTCGCAGCAGAAAGAGCAATGGAAATATTTCTCTGTATAGTTTAGCTGCTTTGATATTTTTTCTCGGTTTTTCTGATATTGCTACAACTACAGATAGCAATATGGAAATTTTGTTGCTCTTGCAACGAACAGAGCAGAGCGAAAGAGCATTAATTTAAATTTTCTGCTATTGTCTCAGCTAATTTTACGTAGTAGCGAATATTTAATCATTAAGCATTAAATCAGTTGAAATATATTTTAAAATGATGTTTTAAATTACACAAGAAAAAGAGTTTGCCTTTAATTGAATTTCGCAGTAGTAAAATATACAAATAACCATCAATAAATATTCATAAATATCAGAATAAATCTTACTTCAAGAAATATATTACTCAGGCTCTAAATCGTATAACTAAAAAGCATCAAATTTTTAAATTGAACAATCCCCCTAAGAGCACCCCGTACGTCTTTCCCCTACTCCGTACATGAACTACGTCGTAATATCATCAGAACTATTGTTGTTTTTGTTGTTGTGGCTGTTGTTCTTCATCTGAGCTCAATTCAAACTCATTTCCATTGACGTGAAGGACGCCTGGAGACCATTTGGAAGCTGTGCCTCGTAAATATTTGCATATTGATTGTGGCATATTTTCAGCTGTTGTTCTTTCCAATTCCAATTTATTGATTCTCACTTGAAGAGAGACGACAAATATTGAAATTAGTTCGCTGACAACCGAACGGACCCGACTTGACTTGATTATTTGTTGTCACTCTTGTGCCTGATATTTCATTTCAATTGAACAGCGTCCGTTGCCCGTTGTCAAAGGTTATCAACAGTTAAACAGTTGCCAAGTGCAGTCCACATATGGCAAATCTATACTTAAACTCACTGAAATCTACGGAGAGAGAGAGAGAGAGAGAGACAGCTGCTATGACCTTCGCATGCGCACCTGTTGACACCTTGGGCTGGGCTGGGTCTGGACTGAGACTGGGACTGCGACTGGGACTAGGTTGCATTCTCTATTGACTTTAGACTTTTATTAACATAACTCGTTTCATAAATAGCTTTGGCGCGATAAACAGAGCAACTGTTAAATGCAACTCGCATTTCATTATTATTTCCATAAAAATCTAGTTTTTAAATTTAGAATGCAACTAATTATATTGCACTCACTGCACCTACACTAATTCATACGCTTGTGGGGCGTGCCCACAATGACCAATACATATTTTTTTCAATGTCTTAATCTGAAAATCTAATCTGAATTAAATATGGAGAGCACATGGCAGAAAAGGTTTTCATCTACTCTGTTGCTAATCGACAATTATGTAGATCAGTTTAGGGCACAGCTGGCTGAAGGTGGCGTCTCATATTCAACACCACTGAACAAATGTCAGCTGAAGGTGGTTGAAAATCCCTTTCATTATGGCATTTGTAGTCAGATTAGTTAGTTGAATGACCCATTCACATTATTATTATGTAAATATTCAATATGTACTCGTAGTCAAGATTAACTATAAATGCAGTTATAATCTATCATATATCCTTATAATAATACGAACACCTCCCTTTTTCAATTAAATTATTATTATTATCCAACCATTAACATTTCTAACATTCTTGAATGTGATGATTTATCGAATTTCGTATCGATATTATGAAAAGTATGGCAATATAAATGCCAGTCTGAAAAGTCTGCGAGTATTTTGAAATAAATCAAATGTAATTTAATTTGATTTATTAGCCAATTAGAAATGAAATCCTTTTTAAGTTTTAATTTTGTTTCTTAATTATTGGCTTGTTTGTCACCCGACTAATATATTTTAATTAATTGTTTAATTATTCACTTTGCAAGGACAAATAAACATAAACTAATCAGATGTTTAATCAGTCAGAAATCATAATGGAATCGTAAAATGTAAAGAATGTGAAGGTAAGAAATGTTGGACATATTGAAATCAGGTTATTGGGCACACTTTGCATATCAAATAATTAATTAAATAACAAGATTGTTGAATTACAAATTACTTATACATAATTTAAATGCTAAATAATCAGCTATTTCTACGCATATGTTAAGCTTTGATATTTATATTTATTTTAATTTTCCTATATCAATGCTCAAGTTACTCAATCTAGGTTCAAAAAGTCTACTCGAAAGTTTTTACCAGATTGCCTTTCATAGGCTGTGCAACAAATACGTGTCTCTTAGAATACATATATATTTATATATAAAATTCTAAGTGTCCTACATTTAGTCTGCAAACTACGCAATTTGCAGTTGCAATGAGCGCTCATTAGACACACAAATCAGAGATTAATGCAAACAAAGTTGTCATTGCGGAAAACAAATGGAACGAGACTGTAAAAAAAAGCAATGCCAATCCGCACTATCATATATTAAATTAAATATAAATGGGGGCATGATTAAATTCAACCTTGGAGCTAGAAACTTATGTGCACATTTCTAAGACAATTTTTGTTGTACAAAGCTCAGCAGTTTGCCTAGAAAAGTTGTGTATAGAAAAAATATGAGAATTTCCCAATAAAAAAAACCACTCGCTAAAGAGATTCAAACTGGAAATTTACCGCTGCTTTGATGTAAACAAATAAATAAGTCTATGTTTTTTTTTATAGCGGCTCTCTGGAGTAGGCCATTGGGTCAAGGTCACAGAAAGTCCATAAAAAATAGAAAGTCTCTTATCTGGCAACCGAGCCATAATTATCTGAAAATAACTTTTCTTATCAGTTGACTAGACGAATTTGGAATTTGAAAAATATGAAACATTTTTTTGTCACATTTTTGTTGGGTATTCCAAATATTTGCAAAAAAAAAAAAAAAAAACGGAACAAGTCGAAAAAATGTAAATGAATTTTATAAATACCTACTAAACTGAAAGCGAGACAGTCACTGCAAAAGGAAAACAATAATGCAAAAAAATACCAGTATATATGATAAACCCGCTCGACCGGAAAGTCATCTTAAGCAACCCAACAAATTTGGCACAGCACACAAACCAAACAGATCGGTAAAAGATATAGATTGCTGTACATAACTACATATAGGATATTTATGCAATACTATATAATTATAAGAATTATTATTCGATCGCTTATGTCTTCCAAGTAATTTTTTCCATAACTTGTCCTAAGACGCATTAAAAATATAAAAAAATATTTAGGTATAGGTCAAAATATTAATGATAACCAAAATGACACTTCTTCTGAAGTCTTTCGAAAAATAATTTTAGTTGATCCCAAACGAGGCTGGTTAGAAAGGTGTTCGGACCTACCCCTGGTTAATGCTGGGCGTGAGATTCTTTTTCTTCCTCTTACTCTTTGCATAAATATATAAAATATTTCCAATTATTAGAATATACTCTATAGATTCTCTCTGAAATTGTATATGTCGCCTTTTATAAACTGAATCATTGAAATATCATGTTCAAATGGAATGCCCAAGCCACAACATATATCCCATTTCCTATTCCTTACAGCCTTAAGTTATTTGTTTATCATTAAGAATGTATATCTTGAGAACAGCTTCCCATATCATTTATGTGAGGTTTCCCATTCAGCAATTCAATATAAAGTTTAGCAATAATTATTCGCTTATAAAAACATTTACATATTATAAGAATAGAAATAAGGAAATGAATGTCTACAAAGTGTTTTACTTTAAGCTTATGTTATTCTTATAATCATATGGTGATAATAAAGTTACTATGCGCTCTTTAGAAATTAAAGTTTAATTCTATTATTGAAATCATAAATCGGCCTTGGTACACTGAGAAAAAAACTATCGCCTCGAATATGCGCATTTAAAACAATGGTTAAATCAGGGGCAGTTTGATATGAACATACTTAAATTATTATTTCAATTATTTTTAGTAGTAATTATTGATATGTAAGCATACTAACCATAGGCTTGTTGCATAAATATATAACTGCTCATAATTGCGGCAGCAGCGACTCAGATTCAGAAAAATGATCTCGAATAACAATTGGAAAAAAGGGGAAAAAAAACAAATGGCGGCAGAGAGAAAAAAGGTGCTTAAAACGCTAAAGGTCTAAACAATAAGCGTCAATGGAACGCTGAACAACTAAACTAATTGAAATATCAACTTTAAAATGTGTTTTAACTAATTGCTAGATTAACGAGATGCGTGCTTAAAACTATCTAAATATATTACAAATTATTTGCAACAGCGAATAAAGAAAAACAGGTGCAAGAAACCTGCAAAATTATAATTTAAAGAAAGAGAGAAGAGAGAAGGAAAAATCACAGTGAATTTTGAACGGGTATCAAAACAAAAAAAAAAACAAAAATATCGTTGGCTCAAAGCAACGAACGAATGGGCCAAAGTAAATAAAGATAAAATAAAAATAAGATTAATAAAAGAATAACAAGCAAATAAGCGAAAGGCGTATGGCGGATATACACACAGAAATATACGAGCGGGGGGTGTGGAGGAGAGGAGACGAGTTGGAGCTGGATATTTTTATGGGATTTTATGTTTTCTAGTCAACTGCTGCCGCAAAATACTTTCGAGGGCGTTTGTTACACAAGCGGGCTGGGCAGCTATACTTGGGCAGTTTTTTATTGATCTGTTGTTAATGTTGCTGTTGTTGTTGTTTTTGTTGATGTTTCGGATTTTCGCCGTTTAACGTCGTTTCACCAACTTTTGCGAATTGATCACAATTTCACGGTTCCACATGTAACGGTATCCACAGTGTGGTATCATGCTCACAACCGAATGCTGGCCGAAATCTTGGGAAATCTCAGTTGTCAACACAGCAGAGACAGAGACAGCGAACTCCAAGGTCGATGGGAGTAAGCGAAAGATATGGTGTTAGTTGTTCACGTTCACGTTGATCGGCTACATATAGTTGGCTCGAAGGGAACACCTCAAACGGACGCGTTTCGTTTTGTTTGGCGCCGTCGCGAATTCCACTTGTCGAACCGAATGCGTACAGTTTGGCAGCCACTCGATTCGATTGACAACAGTTTGACAAGCAGTCGCTTGCTTGCTTAGCCACCTTGCCGCGTGAGTCTCGTGAGAAATACAAATAAAATAAAAACCGAATTCGTTTCAATAATATTCAACGTTTTAAAACGCCAAGACGTGCGTCTTTCTTATTGTTGTTGTTTTCTTGCTGATCTTGTTATATATATATATATATATATATATACATATATATTGTTTTTAATTTTGCTTGAAGGCAGTTTCTTTGTTTTCCAGTCGTTGCTGTAGTGATTGTTTTTGTTGTTGCTGCCGTTGTTGTTGAAATCAAAGCCGTGTCTTTAACCGAGCGCACGCGTCAGAGTAACAATTTGTACTGAGCATTAAGCGCTGGACGCGCTCCGTTTTTGCTCTGACCGAAGTCAGCAATGAGAGAGGCCTTATAGACACAGAGAGAGCACGAGAGAGAGTGTGTGTGAGTGTGTAGGAGACAACAGCCCTGCAATAAGATCAATCTCCGCTGTTGTCTCTCGATCAGCGCAGCCGAACACAAAAATCAGACATTATACGAAGCACACCGAACCAAAGACTTGGCACAGTGGGACGAACAGCGAACGAACTGTGAAAATTATTAATGAAATTTGCAATATTAAAAATTGTATTTTGGTCTGCCCAACTACTGCTAACAACATTTTTTTTTTTTATTGTGAGTAATTAATGTTGAAAATCAAAGGAAGTTGCTTTTCTCCCACTGTTCTTTAAGCACTGATCAGTGTTTTAAAACACATTGAATTGGCATTCTGCTACAGATTATCAATAATTATTTTTTATGCAGTAACCCAACAGGTCTGAGTGCAAGTCACGATTCTCCTGCCCCCTCAAATTATTAGCTCCCATCCGCCCCATGCCAGATTTAACTGCATATTTATGAGAAATCGAAATCGGCGAGACAGTAGAACAAGGTGACGTCCAATGAACTCGCTTAACCTCAAAAAGCAATTGCAAAGTTAGACTCTGGCCTGATGCAGATACACCATGCATCTTAAGGGAAGTGTTCGTATATTAAGTAAAATAAAGTATAAACTAATTATAATATTTATTATATATATATAGACTTCACGTCACGATAAGCTGGACAGAATATGAACAGCTGCCGAGTTCAATGACAGCGCCCTATATAAAGCTTTACCTCTCAAGCGCTCTCTCTGTCCCTCTCTCTCTCTCTCTCTGTGGTTACTCGCAAATGAAAGCTATATTAAATAAATAAAGAGCCTGTCTTAATTTAATACCAAGCCCCAAAATATGTCTCAAATGGGGGGCACGTCCTCAGCGGACAAAAAAAGACGAGTTGATTTTAAATTTAATAACAAAAAGTCCAAAAAATTGTTAACTGAAATTTCCTGTTCAACTCATATTTAATGTATGCCACATGTCATGAAAAAAATTCCATACGAAAATCAACTGAGTATCTCAAATAAAGATTCAACTGGTTCATCGCTCTGACAATATCGGATAAGTCCTTGAACCTACCAAAATAGGGCCTATTGATTTTTAAACAGGGTAGGCCGCTTTCAAATTTCTTGTTTAATTTTCAAACACAATGCAACCTTCAATTTAATTGCTTTTAATATAAGTTGTTTCAAGTTCTGCATAAACTTGTAACTTGAAAAAACGTTAAATTCCAGTTCCAAGAGTTCTACAAATATGCATATGGAAAGCTTATCAAAGTTTGTCCTGTTTTCCCAGCGTAAAATACCTTTTAAAAATAAGCATAGCTTGGCTTTGTGCAGCTAAACGTGTTTATTCACTCAAAATAACAACAGAAAAAATTCACGCTTTTCGAATTGTTGTTGTTCATTACTTTTTTATGGGTTTGCGTTTATCATGATTTATAATTACGTTGCAAATAATGGCAGACATGGCAACAAGAAAAGCAATAGCAGACCAAATGCTACCAAAACAAAATAAAAATCGAACCGGTTCCTCACACAACAAGATCTGCCAACTATTTAATTTTAGTTTAAAAAAGTGGAAAATTTTACACAAAACTATCGAAAATTATTTCTATTTATAGTTTTAACTAAGTGAAACTCAATCAATCGTTATTTAAAGTTATATCCTTAATTACAATATATATTACATAATTTCTCCCACCTACTTAAAAGTATTCAACAACAAATTGAAATCTTCGCACAATAAACTGGTTTAAAAAAAAAAAACAAATTTTGAAAATTTAAAATATATACGATTTCAAAAGATTGTTTAATTTAAAATACCAAGCTTTCAAGCAACCAAATAAAGTTGTTCAACAAGTTAAACGCGCATTGTTTGTCTACGTTTTTCAGACGTTCAAAGTTCAAAGTTGCCATAAAATATTTGTTTTGGTTTTAAACCGTCCAGATAATAGACGTTTAAGTCAAAAGATACTGCTGCTTAAGGCCATATAAAGTATTCATTAATGTTCTGTCCTACTTACTGAACCAAGGTTCTAAAGAGGTATGAAGGATCTACTTGAAAAATATGAACAAGAACTCAATAAACTTGACAAAGCCAGATACATCTCAGAAGTTTTCATTTTGTACATCACATGCTATTATTTCAATCAATCAATCAATTATCGATTGAAAACAAAAATATTATTATATGTAATAATAATATTTATATTAAGTATTTTCGTTATGAAAACTTGGCATAGACATTTTTTATACATATTTATTTGCTTTGCCATTCGAATATTTTAATAATCAATAGTATTTCGTAAAATATTATTTCAAGCTTTAAACAAATATATTTTTAATAGATATTGTTGTATATTATACAATTTCGGCAATAAGTCAAATTATCTATGCATTTAATTGCTGTTTATTGATAATATTTTGATCTCGATCTCGATATTTTAGTTAAGCTGCCTAAAAATATGAATAATAGGCTCAAGATGATTAAAAATCATAAATCATGCTGCACAATTAATAAATTTATAAGAAATTGTAATAATACTCTATTCTAACTACATTCAAAAAGAAGTTGAAACTATATAAGAAGATACACAGACATTAATTTTATATTTATTAAAAGAAGTTTTGGTAACTTGCCATCATCCTTCAGGTTCAAAAACTCCACAACCAATTCCTCACCGCTGATCAGCTCCATGGAGCTATCCTCCTGCAGGCAGTCCTCGCTCCCATCGCTTATGAGCGTAATACCTGAAATAAGAGTCGACTTTAGTCGCTGTATACCATAGATTGGGGATATGACTGAATCTCACTCACCATTTGCAAAGTTATCGTCGTATAGAAAGAGGCCAGTGGGATCATCAAGCGCAAAGAGCTCGCTGGCCACAGCCGATGCCGGCGATGCTGGCTCCAGCTTGAGCTCCCAGTAATCTCTCGGTAAATCCAAACTTGTCATTGTTTTGCTTTTGCTGTTGTTCATATGTGAAATCGATGTCAAAACTTGTTGCGAAATACGGTGAATATATTGAAGGTGGTCTTATGAATGTGATGAACGCTGCTTCTGCTGCTTGTTGTTGTTGTTGTGGGAACGCCATGGTGGCACTGAAATAATTGAAAATACAAATTGTATTTTAATATATTAAAATGAATAGCGTCATTATTTGGCTGGACTGCATTGTCAAATTATTTTCGCATTAAATTCAGCTCTGATAGCGATTTATAATAATATAATTATCTCAAAATAAATTCGTTTTAAACTTAAATTTTGGCAGAAGATTTCACACACACACACACACACAGACACACACACAGACACACACACAGACACACACACAGACACACACACACACACGCACGCACACGCATACAATGCCTTATCAAGATCGCCGTTTGATTTGTGCACTGGCGGCGCAGTCGACGCTGACGTCGACGCTCGACACTTGTGCACGAGACTACGAGTGTGAGCGAGACAGGAAGCGCACGCCAAATAAATATGATGATTCATTGCCTCCAGGCACGTGTAGCATGTGGCAAGAAGAAGAACCAATAACAGTGTTGCAGCGATGGTTACTCAATTTGCGTCTGCGATTGCATCACCCTTAAATGGACGTCTCCAGCTGTTATTCCTTTTTTGGTTTTTTTGTGGCATGCCACCGAAAGTTGGCTAACATTTCTGCCACGTTACCATGAATCGACAAAAAAATTACACACACACACACCGCCGCAGCTGTTTATAGACAACAAATCGGAATGCAGTAATTTTGCATGTGTGCGAAAATCTGTGTGCGTGTTGAACCCTTTTATTGGTACTCACATTGTTTTTGTTAACATTTTCATAATTTGTTGTGTGTTTTGGGCACTGTCGTGCTTGTTGCTTTGCTTGCGCGCAATCTAGAAAGCCATTATTATGTCCATATAAATGCGAAAAACACGGATAAGAATAATTGAACCTTTTTGCGTTTCATTTGGAACGGTACTGAACCATTGCTCATCGTTGAGAACCGTTGGTTCCTTGTGAACGACTTTTACTAACAGCAATGATTCACTGTCTATAATAACATTTTCATAACAGCGAACAACAAGTTCATCGGATTGATGTCCCATCGACAAGAAAGACTGTTCTGATTTGTGGGCTTAAGAAAATGTATTCATTTTACCATGAAAAACCAAATTCAGTAGGCTCATTAAAATGATGTGCATAAAAAGTAAATTATTTAACAAATTTCACCAACAGTTCCAAGTGAGTACAGAGAAATGAGTAAGGTATCGAGTAGCTGGAATTTTGCGACTATCGATAACTCTTCGAGATAACCAAATTTCGAATTTTCAAATATGTCATCCACAGTGCATGAACAAATTTTGCATATTAATATTCATTTTATTATGTTTCTTTCTATAAATATTGAACTTATGAATATTTATCTACATTTTAAAATAATAAATTATTTGCTGAATTTTTGTTTGCTTCAAATAAAAATAATAGCAGGAATTAAAAGCCGTTAACTAAAAGCAGATAAAAAGTTGTTCTAAGAACACATAAAAATAATAATTATATAATTCTTCAATATAATTTCAATCCATCTATTTACACATGTCCTTCGTACTACTAAATAATGCTATTGTTGTAATAATTTAGCTTTGATATAAAAGGCAAAGTACAAAGTGAAAATCTATTTGAATTTCAATTGTTTTTTTTTTTTTATTGTCTGACACAAGCAAGAAAAGAATAACTTCTATCGAGTTAGTCAGTTAAATAGATATTTATCTCGCTTGGGTAAACTTCGGTTGTCTATGACTAATTAGATGTATATTTTCTGGAATCGGCAAGAGAATGTTCCTGCGTCGAACCGAACCAATGCACCGAGGGGCAACGAGCAACAGCAGTTGCCACGTAGTCAAATTATACGACAGACAGCCATCATTATCAAGATATCTATATTTTTGGTCATCTGGTTCTTCTTCACCGTCTTTCTGATCATCATTCCCCCTTACGAGCCTTCGAATGTTTTAGTGCCGCTGGAGACGCAAAGTCCGCAGGTTGTGAGGATCATGGATGAACCACGGAGCGATGTGATCACCGTTGAGGTGAAGGGTCCCATTGATCCGGACGCCACACTTAATCCCCAGCTGGCGACCAAAGAGCAGCCGCACATCCTTGTGGTTGTGGAGTGCTTCAGCGAAGAGACAAACACCACCATGTGGATATCAAAACCCTGGAATGTCTACCTGGATGAAACACCACAAAATCACAAGCATCATGTCGATGAGGAGGACGAGGATGTTGGGGTCACAGTAAAGAAGTACATCCATCTGGAGGAGATTCAAAATAAATGGATGCAACGAGATATGCAGTCGATAAGTCGCCGCTTCTCCAATAAACAATTGGATGTTTTGCTGCTGAATATGCATGACGAGACGGCGTCTCTATTTGTCCGCGTTAATCCCAATCCGATGGACATGGACAAGGCGGTTGTGTGGGGCATATGCCTGATGCTGCTGCTCTATGTGCTCATCATTTGGGATATTGCGGATCGGACAGTTGCCGCACTGATTGTGTCAACCGCTGCAATTGCGGTGCTCGCCATGTTGGGTGAGAGACCCAGTCTGGGGAAGATCATTTCGTGGATCGATATGGAGACATTGATGCTACTCTTTGCCATGATGATTATGATCGCGATTCTCGCCGAGACGGGCAGCTTTGATTATCTGTCAGCGTTCGCCTATCAGATGTCGAGGGGCAACATTTTGATGCTCCTCTTCTATCTGTGCATGTTCACCGCCTTCATTTCTGCCTTCCTCGACAATGTGACAATGGTGCTGCTAATGGTGCCGGTGACGATTCGTTTGTGTGAATCGCTGGAGTTGAGCACACCGGAGTTTGTCATCAGCATTGCGATCTTCTCGAATATTGGTGGCACATTCACACCGGTGGGGGATCCATACAATGTGTTGGTCGCCACCGATCCGCATGTGCAGAAGAATGGCCTCAATTTTGGTCAGTTTGTGTTGCACATGTTTCCCTGTGTTCTCATCAGCCTGCTGCTCAGCTTTGGTCTCTTTTACCTGCTCATACGCAATAAGCTCTACAACATACATGAGCTGCAAGAATCGCTGAAGGCTCTCCAGAAACAGGACAACCAATTGGATCTAGATTTGGAGCGTCGCATCAATGAGCTGCAGGCGCGCCTCAAGAAACAACAGGGCAAGGATCGAACCAATTTCGGAGCGACTCTCGCCGAGATGAAGGCCAATTGTAGGATACGCAACAAAACGTTGTTTGTCAAATGTTGCATTGCCTTCGCCTTTGCCATAATCCTCTTCTTTCTGCACGCCCTGATGGAAGCGGTGACTCTCTGCTGGGCAACCATGCTGGCGGCTATATTGCTGATGATCTTGGCCAATCGCAAGGATATCGATGCTGTTATCGAGGGCGTCGAATGGTCCACATTAATCTTCTTTGCGGCCCTTTTTGTCCTTACGGAGGCACTGACCGAAATGGGCGTTATGGATTTCATTGGTCAGTGCACCATTGCGATCATCTTGAGTGTGGACAGGAGTCAACAGTTGCTGGTGAGCATCATGTTGGTGGTGTGGATCACCGCCCTCTCCTCGGCCGTTGTCGACAACATACCCCTCACGGCCATGATGCTCAAGCTGGTGATCAAGCTGAACTCCAGCCCGGAACTGCATCTGCCATTTGCACCGCTCATCTGGTCGCTTCTGTTCGGCTCCAGCTTTGGTGGCAATGGAACACTGATTGGTGCATCGGCCAATGTGGTCGCAGCGGGCATGGCCAGCCAGCATGGCTACACCATCAACTTCAGGTCGTTTTTTGTCATTGGTTTCCCAATTATGTTGATGACGGTGCTGTTGGCGACCATCTATCTGCTTATTGCCCATTACTGGTTCTCATGGCACGACTCACCTAACAGAAGTTAAAAAAAAAAAAACAGTAATAAATCAGACTATAAAAAACACATTTATTTATATCGTTGCAGTTTCACTTTTATAGTTGTTTTACATATGTTTATTTTTTTAATTTTTTCAATTTAAATTACAAAACTAAACTTCCTAAATTCGAGCATATTTGATGAATAAATGTTGAACTCAATTCATAAAAAGAAAACTAATATAAATTAATGACATTCTTGATCTGCAGTGCTGGGTAATTGGTAAAATATCTTATATATTCCACATTTTGTTTTTTATTTACACTAATATCTTTTTATTTATTACTTAACTAATTACAAATTGAATTCTAGTGAATGAAACCGTTAAAATGTAAATATTCCACAATTTTTTATTTATTTTTTATGCCATTTTAATTTTATCTTTTTACTATATCTAAAATTCGAATTCCATTTCATAAAAATTAATATTTATTAAAATAATACAAATAATTTAAATCCTGAAATACCAGGGCTGCAAAATCGATAACACGTTGAAATCAGTAAATTATATGCCAAAATATTTTAATATTTTAACTTTAGTTTAGTTTTTATCATATTAACAAACTTGATTCGTATATTTCGTAATTATTTCTCTAACCCATAATATTTTTTTAAATTTAAGAGCGATTTTCTTAACTGTAGCTTTTGAATTTCAGTTCTTGAATGCGAAACTTTGGAAGTGCACCACTTTTGCTGTTTCAGTGCTAATTACAAACAATTTATCTATGTGAAATCCATTTGGGCCACATAAAATGCGGAAAAGCATGCGGGCAATAAGCCCAACTAAACTGGTCTCCAGATACCCTAAACTGCTCTGGTTATAATAGTCCTGCGCTCCTTCCACGCTGACCACGTGGCCCAATCAATCAAATGCTTGTCAATGGGTGGGCGACCACAAAAACAAAAAAAAGAAAAACAACAACAGCAAAGTGCAGATCTATAAAATCAATAACAATTTTTTACTACATGCCGCACACTTAAGCAATCAGTCAGGAAATTGAATGCTGGCTGAAAACTATCGTCTCGAAGAGGTTTTTAATGGCTTTTGTTTTTACTGTGCCTTCAAACTTGGCCATAAATCTTGCCAAAAATCGAAAAATGCACAAAATGTTGTGTGTTCATAAAATTTGTATTTGTGTTTTTTTGCGATGATTGATGTGTGCCCAACAAAATGTAAAGTGCCCATTTTAATTTCACAAAAAGGGTTTAAAAGGAGTGGCGAGTACAGTTGGGAAAGAGCTGACTTAATTACTGATGCGTCTCTAATTTAATTTCACAGAATTTGGCTTGATTTTTGGACTGGTCTTTATAATGAAATATTTATGGACAAAACAAAGGAAAATGGCCAGCTAATGAGTTCCATATACCCCAATCTCTGTCTCACTTACTCCACTCACTTCACTGTTTTTTATGTCTGTTTCTCTCTCTTTCATTTTGGCTGCCAGTGACAGGTTCTCAAAGAACAGACACTGAGAAATTGCACCCATGAAATTAAAAATAACTCAAGCGAATCGCTGGAAAACAAAGGCGATGGCAATTTATGAAACTGAGTGGAACTCAAAAAACAAAAAAAAAAAAACAAAAAAACACACAAAGAAAAAGCATTCCAAAAGGCTTAAGTTTTGTTAAGCAAGCAGACACGTGAACTGCTCTTGTTGTTGTTGTTGTTGATGTTGTTGGAACAACAAACAAAGCAAAAGCGGTCTAAAGAATTTGTTAGCACGTTGATTTATCATCGACAGACCGACCAGGAGGACCCCAGCAAAGGTGAGCCAGTCTGGAGGGAGGGAAGAAAGGATGGCAGCAGGACTTTTCCGTCTTCCACATCTAATTCAATAATAAGAGCGCAAGCGAGAATGCGAGTAACAAATGCCAGTAAATTGTGATATAAATCACAAAAAAATTTCCCATGTCGGCAACTGACAGCCACCCCTCTATCCCCCCCAACCCTGAGCAGCATCTTAGGACAGAAATGCGGCCGAACCAAAAAATATTTGTTAGAACTTTTTCGGACACAGCCATAACAAAAACCGAGAAATGGCAACAAATTGGTAAAAAAAATAACCTAAACCTAACCTAAACCTACTTTTCGCATGTCGCAGTTACATTTACCCTTGCAGAAACTGATCTCACTTAAATTTAATTATTTATTTATAACAAAAATTTGATTGTGTGTTTATATGATTTTGTATTGTGTTTCTTTTTGGAAAATATTAAGGTGCATTCAATAACTTTTCACTTGCAAGATTGGTTTGGGATTCTTGGTAGGCATACACTCAGAAAAATCACTACGTAATTTAAGAAATCGTCATTATATTGCTTAACTTCATTATTATTATTCAGAAAGTGTATTTCTAAAGGGGAAGATTATATCTTTTCAAAAAACAGGCTGTTACTTTTATTAATTTAAACGTTGATGTTTGCAAAATTTAAAAAAAATGTGTCTATTTTCTAGGGTGTATTTATATAAGTAAATGTCGAAAGAAAAGCTTTTGGAATAAGTTTTTTTTTTAATTATTTAAATTTCTACTTTTTCTTTATTTATAATAAATCATATATATAATATAATAATATATAATATTTATTGTCATAAGCATAGACATGGCTACATCGACTCTGCTAATAACACCAATCAAGATTATATATACTGTGAAAGGTGTCTCCTTTGGAGTGTTACATACTCTACAACAAAATTAGAATACCCTCGGCAAGGGTATGCAAATATTTAGGAAAGGAGTTGAGCTATGCCGACGGGATTGCCTGTTCCCAATTGCACGTCCGTTTGTGGCAACAACAACAACAACAACAACAACCACAATGTTCATTGTGCGGCTTTGCAAATAGTTAAAAGTTTTGTGTAATTGCGAATGGCTTTGCAAAGTTGCTTGATTCGATCCAACTGATTGTGTGAACTAACTTGCTAAATTGAATAATACGCGCAAGTTAAAGATTACAAATTGACCTGTGGCATAATATACATAATAATTTATTAAGTTGTGCAACAGAAATAAATGTTCATTAAATTGCCATCAAGCAATAGGAACGCAACTTCATAAATAAGTTCTACACTTGCACAACGGGGCGTATGTGTTATGTGCTCGCAGCAGGACAAATACAATGTGTGGTTGGGGTAAAACCAGAAGTTTGACAGCTGCAAACTGCAAACTCAAATAGTCCATGCTGCACAGCTAAGAACTGATTTACTTCCCTTCAAAAGTTCAAATGAAATTGTGCAAATATGACTAAGCTCACACACATACATATATCAGCCACAAAAGTTGGCGCCCAACCGCAACTACTAAATCCGATCAATTTGAGATATAAATGTTAAATAAACTGCAGCAGCTAAAAGCTAAAATCAATCTATTTCCCTAAACTATTTAAGAGCAGCTAAAGTTTTTCTGAGACCAACTTATACTCACTGGCAATCTGTCGAATTTTGTATGGCAACAAGCAGTTTGTTCATCAAGCAAGGCCAAGATGAGGATTTTTTTATATTTTCAGAGGTTGTGTATTTTTAATAAGCTGTCCACTTCTTTGTGGTTCCAAAACAACAGTTTGCCTTCTACTTTAGTTACTTATAAAGTTGGCCGTGGGCCAGTCACTTTCCAATTTTCTTGGTTTTTATAATTTGTTGACATTATAAATGACACAAGTTAATATTTACCTATCAGCAGCAGCAACTTCTGTTTGCATTTGCAAATTTGTATATTCTTTTGTTTGTTTGACTTTTTATAAAAGTCGCAATAGTTGACAAGCAAGCTGCATGTTTTTGATTTGGTTTTAATAAGGCCAGAACCCTCTGGCACAACAAGTGCTAATTGCTTACCCATGACAAATAACAAAAATGATTACGATTTTGATATATTGCCAGTGTGGTTAAAAGTATAATTCGATTATGATTTATTTTGATTTATTTATTTAATATCGACTTAAGTCAAACGACACTGCAAAATAAAATTATTTATAAATGTCGACTAATATTAGTCGACATAGAAATAATCGAAGAACAAAAATGAAATATTATCCATACAAAAATTTAAATGAAAATATATATTTATACACACTATACGGCTTGTACTTGGGAATGAAGAGAAACAGATGCGGCAGCAGAGCTGGTCGGAGGCAGTAGGCCTCCGGCAAACCAGATATCTCCTAGGTGGTTATAATCTTAAGCGATTTAAGCAAGTTATAAACATGGTAAAGAACAATCTTAGCATACTTACCGGTCTAATGACGGGACACTGTCGAAGAAGTCACCTAACTAGACTAGGTATATATAGGAAAATATGAAAAAGAGGAGGACTCCTCGATACACATCCTAGCAGAATGTGTCGCACTAGCTAGAAGAAGATGTTGCATCCTAGGGTTGCATGTCTTGAATTCTAGAGACATAGAAGACCCCAACCCAACAACAATCCTTGCATTCGCACGGGATCTGGGACTGATTGAAGAGCTATAGGCTCAGAAGGGGCACAATATATCCAACAGGTCGCGGTGCAACTTCTCCAATAATAATAATAATGATAACATTTATGGGTGGTTTTAAACCACATGGTTTTAAACCCAGCTCAAACAAAATTATAAATAACAAAAAGAAGTAAAAACTTAAATATTATTGAAAGCTCAGGATTTTTAAAATTAAATCTTTCATTACAGAAATGGGAGACTTTGAATTGATTTGGGTACTCGAGAGGTGTGTGCAACAAATAATTAAGAGCACAACGGTTAAGAGAAAGTAGAGAAAAGTAACGTGGACAGAAAAATGAATTTGGTTCATCAAAACAGAGGAATCGATTTCACAATTGTGTAATTTAACTACAAACGTTAAACATGGCAAAATACGACAATTAGTTAGGGAGCAAAGTATAATAAGAGGGACTCCAGCGGTGAATTAAACCCCAAGCAAATAATAAGAGCATCTGTTGAACTGATTGCAATTGAAGCAGGTGAGTCGGATATTGTGCAGACAATTAATTATAGTTGTAA